TTCAGTGTCTTCCCTTCTTGTCTAGTATTCTCAAAAAAGAAAATACTATCATCTGCAAAGAGTAGGTAGGAGATCATAGGTGCACTCCTAGAAACTCGAATCCCATGTCGCCTTCCTTCTTCCACTACTTTCTTAGTGAAAGCTGATAAACCCTCTAAGTACAGAAGAAATATACAGGGAGAGATAGGATCCCCTTGTCTTAATCCTCTAGCAGGGCAGATAATCTCAGTTTGATGACCATTGACAAGGGATGCTTAGATTATGGATGTGACACATTGCATCATTAGTTGTATCCACCTCAGGGAAAAGCCCAATTCTTTCATTATAACTTCAAGAAAACTCACTTTACACCATCATAAGCTTTCACCATGTCCAATTTAGTTGCCACTCTCTTTTTTCTTTTTGTTCTTTGCTTCGTAGCATTGAAACACTCAAATGCTAACATTATGTTATCTGTGATAAACATCCCTATGAAAAAATCACGTTTGTCTCGGTAATAATTAAGTTCAATACTTTCTTCAGCCTACTCGCCAACATCTTGGACAATACGATTTATAGAACTCTGCATAGACGTATATTTATGAACTTCATGGGTGAACTTGGCACCTTTGTCTTTGGGATTAGGGCTATAAGTGTATAGTTGAGTTCCTTGAGAATGATACATTCTTGTAGTATATTTGCAACTCCTTCATTACTAGTGATCCGAATGTATTCCGGTTTAGTTAAAAAAAAATCAAGAATATCTTTGTTCATTTCCTCTACTATTCGAGTAGGGACTTTTGTAATATATGTTGTGTTACTAGGCCTGGTATAGCTTTTTTACGTATAAACATGACAAACAAATAGAAAAGGATAGTATGGTAATTTTTTACTTTAAATTCTAAATCTCAAATTCTTAAATCCATGATAAAACATCTCAACAAACATAGGATTGTTACAAATGCATAATGCCTCAAATCCTTGAGTTTTTTAATTACAAAACCCTCATTTTTAAATCTATGAAGCAAATGACCCCATAGCGAGTTGCAAATAAAGTTATGTTCTTTTAACTTTTTGTATTGTGGATTTAAACTTTAGAGATTTGATTTGTTATTTTTTTGTATTATTGATTTTAGCTTTATAGATTTCAAATCTCTAAAATCTACGGATATTATATCTCTCATAATTAGAGTGATTCTATATGTTGATTCGAGAGATTTTTATCTCCTGCCTTTTCTCTCTCTTTTATTAATTTATCACATTAAATATATTTATTAACAAAGTTTTTAATATTTCTCGAACTACTCTAATTTTTTATTAAGGATACACATGTTATTTAATATAAAATTAAAGTTTTTATTTTCATCAAACATTAACAATCACAGTTACCAAACAATAAACATTTTAAAATCTATTTTCAGCAATTCAAAGAGTTAGAATCTTTAGATTGTTAACAATCTATTGATTTAAACTCGTATTTTCCAAACGACCCCTAAGCTGCTAGACGCGTTAGTCGACAAATAGTTGAACTAGACATGAAAGAGCCTTACATGCCACTAAACGGGCAGCTCTGTACAATCATAAGAATAAAATGCAATAAAATACCAAAACTCCTTCAAATGAGATAAAATTCTATCAACAACAAATTAGACGTACAAACATGCAAAATGAAAACACAATAGGCCAATACTATTCATTCTGTAAATAATAATAAGTACAAACACAATATCGAATCTATTGCGCTCCAAATTTGAAGTAGCAACTACCCCTGCAAACAAACAAAAAAACATGCCAAAAGCCTATTAAAGAGGGTCAAACATATTCAATGGAAGTTGCCTTGGATATGCTACCTCTAACCCTGCAAAAATAAGCCCAATAACATGCCTCCACTGAATATGTTACCTCTAACCCTGCAAAATAAAAACAAACAGGCAAAAACCAACCAGACCAATGTGACCTCCCATCTCAGTTGTTTACACTGTATATTAAAGAAAATGAAAAGAAAAAGGGTATGTGGAGCACAAGTGGGACAAGAACCAAACAAACAAAAAAAACTCTCACCTGAAAGAAATGAAAATACTAAAAATAATTAACATATCGATAAAAAGCAAAAAAATACCTATAAGGCCTGCACTAGACATACAAGGACAAACAATGAAAGAAATAAAGTTACTAAAAATAAACCAATACTTATCAACAATAACTAAATATCACGGTCTTTCAACCAAAAATAAATATTACGGAAGATAAGTGCAACAGGCAAAAAGAAGTAAAATATCCTCCAAGACTCAACCTATCGTGGCTATCGTGAATTGTAAAAGAGAAAATATCAAATAACGCGTGCCATTAAATAGAAAACAAAAGGGAAAAGCAAGCAACGTGAACATCAAACCGCTGAAGGTGTGTAACACTTTAGGCAAATCCCACATCGACAAAGCACGGGAGAGATCCAGGGTTGATAAGTAGGAAACCGACCTTAACTGACAAGACACGTTTTGGGGTGAAATGGACGAGTTCTTGTGAGAACTCCGAAGTTAAACGTGCTCAGTGTGGAGTACAACAAGGATGGCTGGCCTTATGGGAAGTCACCTTGAATTTCACCCCAAGCCGAAAACCGTGAGGGTCGAGACCCAAAGCGTACAATATCTTCGTCGGGAAAAGGTACGAGATGTTACATCCTTCTCAATCTTAGCCTTACAAAGTCATCCCACATACTATCACTTCGGTTATCCACCCATACAGGTTTCCCAAATCTTTCACCAATTTGTTGAGCCATCTCTATAGTCCTTAGAGCATTTGGGAGGAGGTAGATTCTTATCGAGATATCCATGTTGTTGAACTCCTCGTTTTTGGCTTGTTCAACAAATCAGTTGTCATCCTCCCTCCCTGTTGACTGGATTAGTATTCTTGATCTAATTTCGGATTTCCTTTGATAGTGTGTATTCTCGCTTTTCTCGAATTGGAAGTGGAATAAAAGTGGATCCTTATTGTAAAAAAAAAAAAAACAAATCAGTTGTCTTGAAGATTAACAAATTATTCTCATAGTGTTGGGGGCCGCCAAAGTTGACCTTGTCCCTATCACTCCTTTCCATGATGTTGAAATCAAACATCTTGTCTCCAAGGTCTATGATATGAAAACTTTGTTTTAATTTTCATGTTTGCTTAGACTAACTCCAACCCAAAAAGCTATATTTAGCCTCCCAAGCTCTCAAATGTGCATATTTGCCTCCCCAAAACACCTTTTTGTTCCAACCCTATAGGCTTCCAAATTTAGCTTCCCACATCTTTTTTTGATTTAATTTCCATAATCCATACTTATTTACAATATCATTCTTGTAATTCACTTTAATTTTTTTATAGTTTGTTATTACTTGTGAAAACAAATTTTTCGATGTAATTTTTTTTAATTCCGAGATAATTTTTTTTTTCAAAATTAGTCATTTTTTGTAGCCGTTACTTTATGACCGTTTTTTTGGACCGATCCAAATATGACCGTTTTTTTAGCCGTTACTTTATGACCTTTTTTTGTTGTTTTGTGCATCATATGTGTTTATAAATTACAATTCTTCATTTTTCATCAACTCACTGAAACTTCTTCCCATTTCTAAAACAAACACATTCATCATGAGTATGTCAGATAGCTCATCGTCGGGAGGAGAAGAAGAAATCGAAGAGTACGAGAGGTTTCACCACCTACGGTTGAGTTTAATCGGCCGGAGGCTGGCTGAAGGTTCATCAAGTCGACGTCAAACTACAAGTCGACGTCACATTGATCGTGAAAGGGTCGAATGTAATCGTCGTCTTATGAGGGATTACTTCGATCCAAATCCAGTATACAATGCTCGCATATTTAGAAGGCGCTATCGGATGCAACCAAGATTATTCCATCGCATTATGGGCGACATTGTGAGGTTTGACCCCTCATTTGCTCTACGGCGTGATAGCTTGGGTCAATTGTCATTATCTCCAGAGCAGAAGCTTACTGGTGCGATGCGCATGCTAGCATATGGTTCTCTAGCTGATCAACTTGACGAGTATGTTCGTATGGGTGAGAGCACTTTGATGGAGGTGTTCAGAAAGTTCTGCAACAACATTATCAACATGTATGGGGCCACATATCTTCGCGCACCTACTCCTGCCGATTTAAGGATCTTACTCAGTAAAGCCTCAAGACTTGGCTTTCCTGGAATGATTGGATCAATTGACTGTATGCATTGGGAATGGAGGAATTGTCCAAGTGGCTGGGCAGGACAATACACCGGCCACATGCATAGGCCAACAATCATTCTAGAGGCGGTGGCCTCCTACAACACATGGATATGGCATGCTTTCTTTGGGTCTCCTGGATCGAACAAAGATATAAATGTTCTGGGGATGTCGCCAGTGTTTGATCGTATTGTCAATGGAAGCGCTCCACATGTACGATTTGAGGTACATGGCCATGCTTATGATCAATGCTATTATTTGGCCGACGGTATTTATCCCTCATGGTCGACTTTAGTGAAGACCTTCAGCAATCCAAGGTCAAACAAAGAGGCTTTGTTTGCTCAACGTCAAGAAGCACACCGCAAAGACGCAGAGCGGGCATTTGGAATCCTCCAATCAAGATGGGCAATTGTTCGTGGCCCTACAAGAGCTTGGGATGTTGTCACACTGAACAATATAATGTTGACGTGCATTATATTACACAACATGATAATCGAGGATGAGCAAGTTGATTATGATGATGAGATGGATGATGACCTTGATTATGAGGTCCATGAACAACCTCAACCAATCAACCGACATGTTCCAACTCTGGTTGATTATTTGGCTAGAAATAATAGGATTCGCTCCTCAACAACACATCATGCGCTTCGAAATGACTTGGTTGAGCATCTTTGGAATTTGCAGGGCAATAACTAGTATTGTTTAATTATGGATTGTATTGCTTGTTTGGATGTTTGTATTTCAAGTTTCAGTGTGTGATTGTATTTCATGTTTCAATAAAGTGTGTTTTGTAGTTAGTCAAAAGATTCAATAACGACTAGTTTTTTTTATTACACATGAAAATGCTCAAAGTTCAAATACAACACACAACACACCACATAAAGCAATAAAAGCCTCAATTAGTACGCATAGGACCTTCTTCTAATCATAATCCATAACAGGAAAGTAATCACCTCCACTTTCATCTCCATCTCCTCCACCACTTGCATCTCCATCTCCGCCATCTCCTGGATTAGAGTTGGGATCATCTTGATCGTACCCATAGATGTCATTTTGTTTACTCCTCCAAAATTTCTTCTTTCTTGGTGTCATCTTTGACAAATCCTTCTCCAGAATATTCATATTTTGTTGAAGTATTGCGGCCTCTCTCTCTTTCTTCTCAAGAGCCCATTGTTCCGCTTCCTGCACCCTCACTTGCCTCTTGTATGCCCATTCCTCGGCTTCCCTCTCTAGTCTCCTCTCTTGAAGATTAATTTTTCTATTTTCGTACTCCATCCTCGACTTTTGCCTCTCTCTCATATCATTACCAAACTCTAGCAGTTGAGTAGTGTACATGTCTGACGACTCTGCAACTACCTTACCTTTCTTTTTTACTGCCTTTTGTTTGTCGCGTCCTTCAGGGCGAGACAGCACGAAAGGCGTAGCTCCCTCGTCTGGTATGTCGTCGAGGCCTTCCACAGGGGAGGATTGAGAACCAATACCTATGGGAGAACCTTGAGAACCTTGACCCATAGGTGGAATTGGACCGACAACCAATTGAGGGTCACAATACCACTTTGGGCAATTTCGAAGGATGACCCAACAATGCTCATGTTCAAAGGCTTTGTCCCCATTCTCTTCCTTATATATCTGTCTTGCTACAAATTCCTATCAAAATTATTAATACACAAGTTAGATAAGTAAATATACATAAAAATAAGAAATACAAAAGTTAAAGTTTCCAAAACAATACCACATCAACTTGGTTGGTACCGCTCGTTTGACTCCTCTCCGCCCTCTGCAAAGCTCCCTTCCAAACTTTACACTTGTTACTGATAAGTCTCAGTCGGGATTCCATTGAATCCGTAGTACGAATTGTTGTAGGATCGCTTCTTCGAAATTCCCTCTCCACCCTTTCCCATAATCTCGTGCTCTTTTGATTGATGCCAACCGCTCCATCTTCAGATATTGATATCCAAGATTTGCACAAGTTTACATCTTCATGAGCTTTCCAATTGGGTCCTCTCTTACTTGACATGTTTTTGTTTTGAGAGATGATAAATAGATGAGAATGAGAGAGATTGTTTTGAGAATGAGTGCAGAAAAAATATGAGAAGTTACTCATTATATAGAAAAAAAAATATGACCGTTAAAATTTGTCCGTTGCAATGTGACCGTTTTATTGTCACTATATTACCCATTTCAAACTAAAACGCAAACACACCCACACAAATAACCACCCAAACAAATTGAAAATTGAAAAAAAAAAGCCAGCAGCAGAGGGGGACCACGCGTGCAGGAGAGGCCCAGGCGCGCCTCCCGCGGTTGGGCCTCGCCTGCACGCGTGGTCCCCCTTCCAGCTGCTATATTTGCCCCCTTTCCCCCTTCCAGCTGCTACCTATCCATCCCAACACTCCAATCTCCAAATTTGGAAGCTAAATTTTTGATGGGTTGGAGATGAAAAAAGGCAAAATATTCACTTTCTCCAAATTTGCAAGCAAGGGTTGGAGTTAGTCTTAGTGATACTTTAGAGATTTGATGTTTGTTTTTTTTCAGTAACGAGCCTTCCAACAAGACGTAGCAAACTTACAGGCCTAAGAAGAACTGAGTCATAATTTTGTTCTCCAACACTAAAGGTTCTTCATAAGAAATCATGACCTTTTGGATTTGAGAAACTAAGGCCTATGAAAAGTTCAATCTAGTCTCCCTTTGCGAAATAAAGATTGAAAGAAGCTTCTATTTATAGGTCTTGATGGAGTTGTAACTTGCAACCCATCCGTCTCTTCCATGTTCTGGATTTAGAATTTAAAGCGCAAAATTACCATAATGTCATTTTCTATTTGTTTGTCACTATGATATGTACACGAAACAAGGACAATACGTACTAATAAGCATAATGTTGTCACAAGGACAATAATAATAAACGGTAAAATTATGTTTAACATTTGACGTAACATATATCAGTTACCAATTATTTGTCCTCCTTTTCAAAAGTAACATATAGCAACATATATTTGAACCGGGGAACAAATATTTACACGTTCCATGAAAATGTCAAAGGAAGCTAGAACACAAAAAGGGTATAAAAAATCTAACTCCTGTTTGCACATTAATTGAATATTTATATTATTTTGTTGTTGTTAATTAATTGATTATTTATAATGTACAATAGGTACATGTAAGAGCAAACTTTGAATTTATAAGTTTATGAGGGTATATGGGTAAAATTTTATCAAGAATTTATGATATCTTACAAATTTCATATCGGGATTTACAAATTTGTTGGATCCATAAATTTGATCTTTAAAAGAAATGAAAGCAAACGTTTGATTTTCTTTAAATCCATCATAGATGGTCTAAACCCCTGAAAAAAAAAATGGAAATTCTATATGTAAAAGCAAACATAACGAAATCAGCCCGAAGGCCAATGAAAGAATGGGCTGAGCAGGCCCATTTGCTGAAGGCGGATCAGAAGGTGAATTCCGATAGCCCACCGGGAATATATAAACTTGAAAAAATCTGGCATACGGAATGGGTAATCAAAAAGGTGGTTCGACTTCGAGAGATCCTAAAGTCGCAGCTCATCTTGTTTCTCGGCTGTTGGAGCAGAAACCCTAACCCTAATCTCCCAATCGTCCGCCATGTCTCACTTCGGAAGGTCGGGGCCGCCTGACATTACCGACACCTACTCGCTTCTCGTCCTTAATATCACTTTCCGTGAGCATATCTCTCCTTTTCTTCCTCGTCCTCGATGTTTTTTTTTTGGCTTATCCTTCTGCCATTTTCGTTTTCTGAGTATCCTTTTCTCCTTTTGTTCTCTTATGGCGTCTGCCATCTCTTAGGTACAACTGCTGATGATCTGTTCCCTTTCTTCGACAAGTATGGCAAGGTCGTTGATATATTTATTCCCAGAGATCGAAGGTATTGTCTCGTTAACGTGCCACTTACTTGAATTCCTTGCGTCTTTGAATTTTGTTGAATGGAGTGGTAGATGGGCTCCTTGAAGTTCTGAAGATAAGCTTAACAATGTTTATGTGCTACCTCAATGTCTGACTGGACTGGACACGACACTGAGGGTAGGATGTATGGGCATTGCCTTGTATGTCACAGAATTAAACTTTTCCCAAGTGTTTTTGTGTCAATTATTGTCATCCTTTGAGAGCCATGGTTTGTTTGTTTCCAAATGGATTTATCTATTTCTGTCTTCACTTCATGATTGGTTCATGCTTTCTTGTTGACGATTTAGGACTGGTGACTCTCGTGGGTTTGCATTTGTACGGTACAAATATGCTGATGAGGCTCAGAAGGCAGTAGAAAGGCTGGATGGTATGGTATTTTCTCATGGCATAAGTTCATGATTTGGTTGTTCAGTGCTCTTTCTGATTAACACTATGTTTTGTGCTATTTTTTTTATATTTCTTTCAGGAAGAGTTGTTGATGGCCGTGAGATAACTGTCCAGTTTGCCAAATATGGGCCAAATGCTGAGAAGATGTAAGTTTCAGAATTGTTGCTGCTTGTAACAAATTATGTTTGCTTATGGATTCAGTACCATAATGCCCGTGTGATAATTTGTTCACTTAAATATCTGGCGAAATATACTTATATGGCTTGTTCTTCATGCTACCAATGTTACTTTTTTACCCTGTTGAGTAGTCAGAAAGGAAGGATAATAGAACCAGCTTCAAGATCAAGATACAGTTCAAGGAGCCGCAGTCCTCGTCGAAAGTATGAGTTTGCTGTTAATTTTGATGATTACATTTCACCAAGCCAGATGTTTTATTTCCTTATTAATGCATTTATATTGGTGGCTGTTGGTATCCAGTAGGCACCGAGATGACTCGTACAGGGAAAAGGACTACCGGAAAAGAAGTAGGAGCAGGAGTCTGGACAGATATGAACGTGAGAGATATCACAGCAGCAAGGACAGAGGCTACCATAAACGAAGCAGCAGGAGTCGCAGTGTCAGTCCTGATTATGCTAGAGGAAGGGGAAGAAGCCGCTATGATGATGATCGTCGAAGTGCCAGCCGGTCAATCAGGTTTGAATATAAGTGATTTAGCTTATTATTTTGATTGGTACCTTCATGTGTTTGTACTTCTTGCCTGAATTCCTTCCTTTCTGTCTACTTTATCAACAGTCGATCACCGCGCCGGCTTAGCCCCAGTCCTCGCAGGAGTGTTTCCCCACTCAAGGCCTCTCCAAAGGATGAAAGCCCAGACAGACGCATCCAAGCTGCCCGTTCTCCAAGTGCATCACCGCAAGATCGCCCCGTTGTATCTCGTAGTCCCTCTCTACGAAATTCGGATCCTGAGGTTAGTGAATGATTCAAATTTGTCATGTTTCCAAACTGCACAGCTGGTGTCACTGATCATTTTTCACTCGTCGTTTGCAGGAATGATCATGTTGTGTGGAATGTTTGGGAGAATGGGTTACTGCTGTTTCTTCCTGGAAGTTCAGAATTTTGAATGGTCTTACTTGCTCTGGTCTTATACTAAGATCTAGATTGGTAGGACTTGTGTTCTTGTAGTTTCTGATTAAAGTATCCTGCTGGTGCTCATGTCTATTTGGCATGCTTGGATTTATTAGGTTTGCAGACTTTTGATTGTAGACGGATTCTGTGCTGTTGGTTGTTTTTGGTTATGTTGTGCTTGTCTGGGATTTATTTATTTTCGATTGCATTGCTATTTACATGGATGTGATGCCTTTTGTGTCATATCGCTGATTAACCCCAAGTCCTAATTGGGTTTTATAGCTGTTGGCTGGAAAAGATTGACGTGCGGCAGATGGCAAGACGTTGATTTTGTCACTTTGTTGCTGTTGATGATGCTGTATGTTAAAATGTGGATGATCGTGATTATGATCTGACAACTGAGGCCGATGGGTATGGTGTTGCTCTTGTGACTAATTATTGCTGACGATGAACATATGTTAACTGTTGGTGGATGATCTTAATTGTCGTACGTGGTAAGATGAAAGGGAACTCTTTGGCAATTTTTCCTACAAAAAGTTTCCTTCAATTGTGTTGCTCTGACCTGATTTGTGTTATCATTTCTCTTTTCTTTTTCCTTTTTTTTGGGGGGGAGGCATTTGGTGGTTCTTGAATCATGGTGTTGCTGTGTTGGCGTAAACGCAAAGTGAAAGCGTTTTAGCGGTAGATGATGCTGCAGATCAAGTGGAGTTGTTAACAGTCACTCTGTTGCTGATACTGTCTCTGTATGACACGAGTCCTTGCTCTGTTTTTCGGATGCTGTAAAACAGCATGGCGGTAAAATGTTTTGGCTTCTTATTTGTTTAGGTCACTCATTTTGATGCCCCATTCCATAACGGATCAAGTTTTATTTAATGTTGCTGTAGTTGGTAGCGCTGGTTGTAGCTGTGAAGATGCCTCTTTTTCTTTGTTCCCGTGGTTCGTGAATAGCATGTAGCGGGTTGCTGTGCTGCCGCTGCCCCATGTTGATATGCCCAGTTGTCCGTGGTTGTCCTGGTTTTGATACTGATTGATGATAGTTGCCATGCTGCTCGGAGAGGCCCTAGCTTTATTTGCAAGGTGAAGTATATTGAATGTGCTTGGTCGTTGGGTTATATTTTTACTGTTTTATTTAACTGGCCGAATCTTCCCTTTGGGCGTAGTTTGTCTGATGGCTTTCTCTTTTTTGCCGCCCATAAGGCTTGTTTATTTTCGTATCTTTCCCTTGATTCTATAAATGACTTGCTGAATAATGTTATTTTGGGTGTTTGTTATTTGCCAGTGAAGTGTTTTGTTTGAATAGTATTTTCGTTGGAGAATTTGCGCATGCAACTAGAGGGTTGAATTGGATGGAACTGTAAAGCTCCATTGTTGATTGTGAATTGTATGGAACCAAGGGAGATTACAGTATAGGTTTAGGTCGGCTGGTGGTGCGTTCTACTTTCCCGATAATAGTTGCTGTATATTTGGTATCTATAAGCTGGCAGGTGCTATCATTGAATTCCATTTATTGTTGGTTAAGCAATAGATTGTTGTCGTTTTGTTTTCTTAAAAAAAAAAAAAGATTGTTGTCGTTTTGTTTTCTTCTGTTGGATGCATTGCAATTTCCGAGCTGCCTTTTCACCTGTAGTGCTAGGAGTCCCTGCAAATTAGATGACAAGGATTTAGAGGTGGGTGATGTGTTAATTTTCTGTGCATCTTCAATGAAAGGAATTAATATTTGGTGGAATAGTTATGTTAAAGAGTATCATATCAGCAACCCCGCTAAAGCCCTCTTTTCCGCAGTCGTCGACCTCATTGGTGTTGGGATGTAACTGCTCAATTATTATACAATATAAGGCCATTGACGCCAAGAAGAACAGAAGTTACTGTCAATTTTTTTAGAGCTGATTCAATTAGAGGTGATATTACCATTGTATGTGTTGCAAATGAAATTATCAACTTTCGAAGATTGACTAAGAGTTTATAGAGTGGAGTATTCCAAGTAATCCTCTAGATTTAGGCACAGGAGTTGGTAATATCTCTTTTAATTGTCTAGCAAGTTAGGTGATGAGGGCATGGGCATCAACACCAAGGCAATCACAAGTCCAACTTTGTGCGAGAAGAACGTGAGAAAGAGGTGCAAGTTCGAGGTCTAGTCACTAGAAGTCAGGTCAAGGCATTTAAGGGTCCACTTCAAACTTATTTGGCCTAAAACTTCACAAATATGGAGGTCGAGTTGTTTGTGGGATAACAAGTGATGACCATTCAAGTTGGGGATGTGTTAGGCCAAATCCACGACCATGGAGGGGAAATCCATGATTGTGGAAAATGTTCGGGGCTGGAAGACCAGAACCCCCGGTCTAGAGGATGAAATCCACGATCGTGGAAATTGAGTGTCAGGGCGAGGATTTGTAGCTGTTGCTGCGGGTTGTTTTTGTTTCGTTTGCAGATTAAGTGACTTATGATCTAAGACTCGGGCTTTGTTATTTTTGGCCCAAAATGTTTGTAGTCTGTATAAGGGGGTGAACTAAGTCTTTTGGAGGGTAATCGATACTTTTATTCAGAAATCAAAATCCTATAATTGAATGTTCAAACACCAACTTCTCTTCTTCTTTCTTGATCCTGGAATTGATTCAGCAAAAAGGAATCGACTTTTCTGCTAGTTGTCTCTTTCCGACATGTAGATTTGGGTTGGGTTATTATCTGTTTGTGTTCGTTTTGCTTCTAATCGATCTTTGTTGCATTTTTGATTGTTTAAGTCTAGGAGTTAGAGCCTCGGGAAGGTATCAGAGCTCCGGTTCAAACACAGTGACACGTATTCCCCTTTCTTGTGTGAAAATCATACTGGCAAAGCTGGATATGCTTAATACTGTTATCTAAGATAAAGAGATTTCCTTCGCCTGCCTTTCGGGCTCATATATTCCCCTCCTCTCTTTTCCGTCGAGCTCGCATGGGTCCTACATTCTCACCTTTGACACAACGAGTCAATGGACTAATATAATAAAATGAATTCTACAGAGCCAAAACAGTGGGTTGCTAAGGAGGCACTTTTTGATCTTGTCAAAGGTCGACTGGTCGAACGGAGATGAATGTCGGCCATAGTTATATGGGAGTCCCGTGTGGAAGGACTCTCGCTCAATGCTATTAGTTGTGCCATTCTTTCATTTAATTTTCTCGGGATTTCCATGTATTCTAAGTGCATCTCGAGCGGTCAACTCAGTTTGGCATCTCTTTCTTTAGCCTTACGCAAGGAAAAAAGACTTTATACCCTCAGAATGCGTTTATTCAGAAGTATGGAAAAGTATATCAGAGTGTTTCAGGAGGAGTATTAGGAGACAGTTGGGAGGGATGTTGCGAGTGAAAGCCCTTACAGAGAAAGAAAGAAAGCGAGTTTATTCACATCCCCAGATATATGCTTCAACAGGAATTATACATATAAAATATTTTGGAATCTCCCTAATATGAGAGAGCTCGAAAAGGACGACTAAGGATAGGTTTTTTTTATCGAATGTGTCACAGTGAATTTCTCCATTAAAAAAAAAGAGGAAGTCTTTCTTTGCAGCTACCTTAGATAAGCACCAACCAACAAGCAACGGAACAAGCAAGGGCTGATGTGAAAGAAGCGGCTCGCGCCAAGAAGGTTACTTTTCAGTTTTTGTTTTCAATTCCGCTCTTGATTGTAACGTGCATCTTTTGGAAAAAGTCGTTTTGGAAAATACAAAAAATAATATAGAAACAAAAGAGAAAACAAAGAAAAAAAAAGGTGATAGCTAGGCCAGATCACGCAGGAAGGTATTGTGGAGCTTGATCGGTCTCGTTAGCATTGTGGAAGTCTTATTTGCTAGAGCTGCTAGTGAGAGTCATTTCTTGGTTGAGAAGTTCTTGTCTACGCTTTAGAGAGCGAGTGGAATGAGGCATCGTGAGATCATTTTCGGATAAACGCGAGGGAGCGATTTTTGAGTGAAACACGAGTGGTAAGAAAAAGGAGTGGCCTACAAATGAGTGAAAAACGTGAGGGAGCGATTTGTGAAGTCCTTTTTCGTACCATTAATCTAAGATTTTAAGCATTGATGGATAACATTTTGTTTGAGCTTGAGCATCATGGTAGGAAAGAACGCTGACCCTCGTGATATGCAAAATGAGTCGGTGGCGATCGAGAACGTGGAGGGCATTCCGTGAGCCGCAATGGAAGCCCTAGTTGGTTAGCTCACACGAATGATGCAAGTTCAACACCTCCACAACGAGGATGAGGAGGAGGAGGAGGAGGAGGAGGAGGAGGAGGAGGAGGAAGAAGAAGAAGAAGAACTCCCACCACCACCACCACCACCAGGTGGAAGGCGTGGCCGACCTCTCGGTCCGAATAATCTCTGACCTTTACGAGGCAGAGGAGGTAGAAGTCGAGGAGGAGTAGGGAGACCACCAGTTCAAGATCATAGAGCTCCTTTCCTCGTGACTATGAGGAGTACTACGAGGAGGAAGAGTATCCCTAACATTGGATGTGGCATGAGAGGGCTGAAGGTGAAGGTGCCATCATTCCAAGGGAGGAGTGACCCTGAAGCTTACCTAGACTGGGAGAGAAAGATGGAGTACTTGTTCGAGTGTCACGACTACTCCAACGAAAGAAGGTAACCATTGCTGTTGTTTCGTGGGACCAGCTGTGTGCTGCACGGAGACGACATAAATAAGAATCCATCACAACGTGGCATCAAATGAATGCAGCCACGAGGATGAGTTTCTTACTCGTTCACCATCAACGAGATCTTCACCAAGCTCTTTACTTGTCGATGAAGACATTGATGATTCGAGCTAATATCAATGAGGATAGGGAAGCAACAATGGCTCGATTTCCCAATTGTCTCAACTGGGAGATCAGGCAGGTTGTGGGGATTCACCAATACGTGGAGATTGAGGCTTTGCGAGGAGGGTTGCACCATCCACGAGTGCCTTCTCGAGTGAAACACGAGCTCCATTTGTGAAGAAGGAGGACCCTAAGCCAATTACCAAGTCGATTGCCACCAATGCTAGAGAGAAGGCAAATACTAACACATGATCGAGCTCTATTGTGTGTTACAGGTGCCAAGGAAGAGGTCACGTGGCGAACCAATGTCCAAATAAACGCACGAGGATCTTGCTGAAGAATGGTGAGTATGAGCTCGAGCCTGAAGATGGAGAGGTCAAGATTGAAGAGGAGGAAGAAGAAGCTGAGGAGCGGCCAGTGCAAGGCAACTACACGTGTGTAGCTCGACGACTTCTGAACGTGCAACAAAGAGAAGAGATTGAGTAGCGGGAAAACCTGTTCCACACTCACTGCTTGGTTAATAGGAAGTTGTTCTCAATGATCATAGATGGAGGGAGATTCACCAACGTTGTTAGTTCTCACATGGTGGTAAAGCAAGGATTAAAGAGCATCAAGCACTCGCGTCCCTACACATTGCATTGGCTGAACAAGGATGAATCCATTAAGTTGACACGACATGTGCTACTGAGCTTTGGGATTGGGAGATACAAGGATGAGGTGCTCTGTGACGTGGTACCAATGCAAACTGCCCACATCCTATTGGGACGTCCATGACAATTCGATCGAGCTACCCAACATGAGTGCAAGACCAGCAAGTACACCTTGTCTTGCAAGGGGGAACACATACGCTGGTGTCGATGACTCCCAAAGAGGTCTATGAAGACCAAGTGCAGGTGCAACAACTCTGTGAGCAAATGAGGGAGCAAAAACTAGAGTTGAGAGAAGATAAGAGAGAAAATTCGAGTGACCCTACACTTGTGAGTCAGCCACCAGAGAAGAATAAAAGTCAATCGTCAAAAAGAAAAGAACGACGAAGGAAGCTCCATGTGAGGTTAAGAGTTTTCTTGTGAGAGCTAGTGAGGTGAACAAGGCATTGAACCACAAACATGACGTTATCCTACTTCTATACAAAGAGTCATTCTTAAACATGGAGCTAAACACTAGCTTGCCTAGTGAAACTTTCTTCTTATTGAAACCCTAGAGAGAGTTACAAACCAAGAGGGAGAAGCCCCCTTCTCTTAAGAGGCTCTAATTGAGCTGGGTTTTCTTGGGAATTCCATGCCTCCTAACTAGGTTAATGAAGGGCAAACCTCTACTTGAATTAGACACCTAGGTTAATTGTGATTATGCCGTCCAAGCCTTGGTTTGAGGGAGAAGGTAAGTCAACCCTCAATTGCTTGTGCCAAGAGGGCTACAATTGTAGCCTCTAATGCTTACCTTGGTCTAGCAATTGAAAGGATGGTTTCTAACCATTGTTGCACCTCCTACGGGTGACAATTGCCTTGTCACACACCGGTTCATGGTAATTAATTAGGGGGAAGCAACACCCGAGTGAAGCTTCTCACCAAGAGTTTTCCACCTTTTTACTTTTCAAAGTCTTGCTTTTAAATCGTAGATTGTAGAGATTTCAACAAACAACAATCCGCTAGATAGTGTTTCTAACAATCGAAGTAGTGGTACATGGGCCGGTCCGGGTTGATATTTAAACATACTTGCCTTATATTGCACCCATCTAAGGTTTATACTTCGGTCTTAGGTGGGATTTTATTGTGATAGTAAGAGCAAGTCAAGTTTTTGGCGCCGGCCGTTACCGGGGACCTTCGGTCCGTTAGCTTGAAAAGATTGTTTGGTGTTAATCTAGCTTTTATTTTCAGTTTTGCTAAGTGTGAAGTGTTGCTTGTGCTAGACGGTGTTGTGTTCTTTAAGTGTGTGCAGTGAGGTGCACGACCCAGAGCAATCCGACGCCTTTAACACCACTGGACGAGGACATCAACCAGACTCTTCGACTTTTAGCTCGTGAGAGGGATCTAGCGGAGGAAAGAAGGAGAATTAAAGAGAGGGGACAGCAAGTTTGTCCCATATTTGAAGGAGAAGTTGAAGTTGAGATGGCGGGGAATCAACATCGAAGTGCTAATCCGCTTCAGAACCAAATTGACGAAGCGAGAACCGAGGAAGAGCCAAGGACTATGTGCTATTACATGGCTCAACGGTCGGCGGATATCCAATCTCCTATCCTACATCCACCCGAGACCTCCAACAACTTTGAAATCAAGCCCGCTCTCGTGACGATGATTCAAAACAACACCTTATTCCACGGGCTTGCCAATGAATCTCCGCGAGAGCATGTTCAAAGGTTTTTTTAGCTTGCGAGATGCCTGCAGAAAAATGGTTTCCCCGAGGAGGCATTGCAACTGAGGATGTTCCCCTATTCTTTGGTGAGGGAGGCTCTTCGATGGCTCAACAACCGTCCGACTTGATCCATCACCTCTTGGGATGATTTAATCAACAAGTTCATGACTCGATATTGTCCTCTTTCCAAGACGGCAGAGTGGATGAAGAAGATCACTTACTTTGAGCAAGAGGAAGATGAGACATTGAGGGATGCCTGAGAAAGATTCTTCGACTACTTCCTCCAATGCCCTCACCATGGATTTGAGGAGAAATTTTAGATAGAGACTTTCTATGGTGATCTCATTCAAGATGAAAAGATTCTCATCAACTCTCTTTGCCTATGAAAGTTAATGAACATGACCCCACCTCAAGTGACCGAGTTGCTAGAAGATATGG